TTTTTACCAAAGATGACTTCAATATCTTTAACGTGTTCAAAAACTTCATGTCCAGATAATGTTCTCGGTGGACTCCGTATTTCTTGTTCACCATTAAAGCGGATCCTGTTCAGTCTAAACCTGTGTCTCCGATCAAGGAAACGACGATGACCCATAAAACACCATTTACAACTAGCTTTAAGACGAATAGGTGTAGTTTGAAAGTTACACGATGGGCAAGCAAGCCCTATGTATGTGTTCCACCCAGAGAGTGCACTCATACCTGGAAAGTCACTAATCGTCCACATCAAATTTGCATGCAACTTGAACATCTCCTTCTTGAAATAATCGTATGTATCCACACCATTTGTCCATAACTCTTTCAGCTCTTTGACTAAGAGTTGTAAGTAGACATCAATATTATTTCCTGGTGCTTCTTTTCCAGGAATTATCATTGACATTATAAATGATGTCTGTTTCATGCAAACCCATGGAGGAGTGTTATATGCAATGAGAAAAACTGGCCAAATACTATTGTTTGTACTCATCATACCAAAAGGATTAAAACCATCACTAGCCAATGCAAGATGCACATTTCGCGGATTTGATGAAAACCAAGTATGTGTCAAGTCAAATTTCTTCCAAGCTTCTGAATCTGTAGGATGCCTCAACATTCCATCGTTGTTAGCATCTATTGCGTGCCATCTTATATCCTCGGTCGTCTTTGATGACAAAAATAATCTCTGTAATCGAGGTTTTAATGGAAAATAACAAAGAACCTTGGCAGGAATTTTTTACTTTTTCTTGTTAACAAAGACCGCTTCATTTGTTTTCCATTTTGAAGTGTTGTAATTTTTTCAAGTCTCCATTTTTTCATCTTCTCCCCAATAAAGCATACAACTGCTTAGACATTCAGCTATCTTTACATTATTCAAACCAAGTTTTGTGATTGATTTCTTGGCTTCATAGAACGAACCTGGAATGTTTGCATATTCAAATGCATCTTTAATTAACTCTAAAATCATTGTCATTGCCTTCTCACTCAATCCACATGAACACTTTATATGGTACAACTTAACTAAAAAAGATAGTCTTGAATATCGTCTACACCCTTCATATAAAGGTTGTTTTCCTTCTCTAGTCAACTCATAGTACTCATTGGCTTCGTTTCTTTCCTGAGTTGCACTTAGCATCACATAATCTTCTTGGCCAATCTCTAAATTTGACGCAGATGGTATTTTATTAGCATGATTCATATCAACTCCAAATGCATCATTGATCATGTTATGAATAGGATCTTCGAAAATGATAGTATCTTCAACCATATTTTGAGTAGTACTAGGGGAGATAGTACTAGGTACAACAAAGGACTCTCCATGATGAATCCACACGGTGTATCCCTGCGGAAATGGTGACCATATTAAGTGGTCGAACATGTCACTCCTACTCTTTTATTTTTTGAAACCGCAGTGTTTGCAAGGGCATATTACTACGTCATTTTCTTTTGCACCTTTAAATGCAAAATCAATAAATTCTTTTATCCCTTGCTAATATGCAATCAATGATTGTGGCTTAGTAATCCACGACTTATCCATTTCTTCAAAAAATAGACATAGATAGATACCACAGTAAAATTCAAAGCAAATCCTATAAAAAAAGGCAAACACTCTAAATACAAATATTTACAGCAACAGAATCAGATGTCATTAAAAGACAAAAGTTACACTCTAGCCACATAATCACAAACTAACCAAAATGAACCCAAGACATACATTTAATTTTAAACAGGATATCAATGTAAGTATTGAAGAAAACCTTTCAATATCCACTATTTTCATTTTTTTAAAACAATAACTATTTATCTACATACATCATAAAATCTGATAAACTACACATACATCCTAAACTCATTGCACTTTCTTTCCTATTTAATTTTCACTTAAAAAAAATCAAATATTGTTTTCTGAAGACACGTATATGAAGAAAATCATAGAAGTTCGAGGTTCCGAATTTTGAGAAATATAAAGGGAACACTTGCCCACAAAGCCATTTGGTCATGTATGCCAGAAATATGTCCACCCATACTGACAACCATCAGTTACTGATTCATTATTTCCAATATAGTCTTACCAGCGCTGCACTGAAGTGGTACATGAGACTTGATAGTTCATAAATCAAGACATTCAATGACCTCGAAGAAGCTTTTACCCGTCAATATAAGTACAATTTGGATATGGCGCCGAACCGTGATCAGCTTCGTGCAATGTCACAGAAAGAGAAGGAAACTTTTAAAGAGTACGCGTAGAGATTGCGCGAGATTGCAGCTTAGATAAGACCTCTGCTTGAAGAGAAAGAGATGACCAAAATCTTCCTGAAGACTTTGGGTCCGTTTTACTATGAAAAGATGGTTGCGAGTGCTCCTATTGATTTTACGGAGATGGTTAATATGGGAATGAGATTAAAGAAAGCTGCCCGTGAGGGACGTTTGACAAAAGAAGATAGTTCTGGAAGTGCGAAGAAGTTTGGTGCTGGTTTTTCTAAGAAAAAGGACGGAGAAACCAATGCCATCTCTCAAGAGAGGCCTAGAAGACACAGAATTGTAAAGCAACAAGTAGCTTCTATTATGCCCGTCATCAGTGCCGCTCCTGCCGCTCAAGCTACTTCAAATTATCAACCACGGTTCCAACAGAAAAACACATCAAAATAATCAACAAAGTCGTGCGCAGAAGAAAGTGCAATTTGATAAGGAAGAATTTGGTTCAGACTCGAGATCCGCTGACTGTTCCTACAGATATTCCATAGTGGTATAAGCTAGAGGCCCATTGTGCATTTCATTAGGACGCCCCTAGACATGGCATTGAAAATTGTTACCCCTTGAAATATGAAGTGGCAAAGCTTGTAAGAAGTGGTATTATGTCTTTTGAAGACACCAATCCTCTTATGCAATCAAATTCGTTGCCTAAGCTGGTAACACATCTATCAATATGGTATATAGGTGTCTTGGTACATACTGTAATTTTGATATTCGTTGGATTCGGAGGTCACTTGTTGAGATGCATGCTACTTTGAGCCAATACCATGATATTGAGCATGATTATGCCATTTGTTGTATTTGTTTCGTGAACCGTGATTGTAAAGAGGGATTTATAAAAGATGATTGATCAGAATTTGATTCAGGTTACTGCAAATAGAAATGAAGTTGAGAATGTGGTGAATGTCATAGTTCCACGTTTCAACATCCCATAACAAGTTGTAATTTCTTAAAATAGTAAAAAATTTACTGTCACACCTTTGGTCATTCATTTGCCTAACCTGGTACCATATGAATCATATAAAATTGCTCTCTACAAATATAATGCTACGACGTTAGAGGATGGTAAAGAAGTTCCTATTTCTTCTCTTCCCTCAGTTGTGAGTATTGCAGATGTAGGTCGTGTGACCAAAAATGGTCGAGTATTTGCTAATTGGATGACAATATAAAATAGTTTTTACACCGACAGTGTATTCCAATTAATCTCGTAAGATTATATATAAGATACTTGAAACACATAAAATAATAAAAAATAAAATAAAATTATAACATATATTAAAACAATGATTTAATTGAAATACATTGACAGTGTAAAAGGATTTTACATTGTCAGTTAATTATAACCGTTGGATGTTAAAAGAAGTTTGATTTTTATTTTAATCATTAATAAAGTAATACCAACGAATGATGATGATGAATTGATAGTGTAAAATTTTTTATATTAAAATTATATAGTAATTAATCTCTTAAAACAATTGGAATAGAAAGTTTAATTGATATGCACTGACAGTGTAAAATAATTTTACACTGTCATCCAATAAGAATTCATCAATCTGCCATGTTATACAATTAATTTAAAATGTACAGTTTAATGTAGCAGGATACATAAGGGTGATTGATTGACAATATAAAATAATTTTATACTATATACCAATTAAATTCATAGAAAATTCAATCTAAATTTGTTCTAATTTAAAGATTTTAGAATAAATTTAATTGGTATCTATATCATCTATAACATATATAAAGGCAACACGTGGTGTTTTGGTGTAGTCTATCTTTTTATCAATTTTATCCCTACTTTAGTTTGTAATTTACACAATTTCAATTTGACCACTACTATAATATTTCAAATAACTTATTATTAACTTTTAAACTAACTTTCTACTATTAATTTTTTATATAAATTTTATTTAAAATTAATATTAAATAAAAAAATATTATTTAAATATTTACGTGTGTATTAAAAGAGCGGACACGTGAGTGCCACCTGAACACTAGTACATCAATAATATAAAATTATTTTATAAAGTTAGTGCATATCTATTAAAATAATATTAAAACATATTTAATTTTCTTGAAAGTTTAATATTATATACCGTTCATTTGACGTTATCGTGTTTAAAAAAAATAAATCTCAAAACAAACTTTCGCCGCCGTTCATTCAGTTGCCGGACAACCACTCTCGCCGTCGTTCTCCCTCTACCGCGGCAACTCGTTTTCTCGCGACGACTCGTTACAGTTCCTTGCGACGACTCCTTACAGTTCCTTGCGACAACTCGCGTTTTCGCTACCGCCACACCATCTCCTCCGTCTTCAATCGCTGGGTTCAGGTCAACGTCAATCCGTCCACCAACGTCTCTATCTTTACAGCCGCTCAGGTCTCTGCCTGTCCTTCCGTCTCACCGGCGTCTCCCGCAAGGTAACCTTTTTATCTCTGCCACCTCCTATATTGTTTCCCTTTCAACCTTCATTCATACTTTTTTTTCCTTAAGAAAAGTTAACTTCCTGTGATATTTGAGTTTCAATTCATACTAAGTTCGCAAAGTAGTGGCATGTGTTTGTGTTCGTTTTCCCATCATCTTCAAATCGAAACCCTAATTTTTTTATTCTTTATGCTCATGTTCTTTTTGTTAACTTAATGGTTACTGTTATTTGTAGCTCTCAGTTTTTAAAATCATCTAAAGATATCGTTGACCACTTGTCAGAGATGTCTGAGAAATTTTCGCCGGCGCTTCGGATTGGAGATCTCAACGATTTCATTGCACCGTCACAGGCATGTATAGTCTCCCTCAAGGGGGTAAAAAAGCCCAATAAAGTTGAGGTAGAAAGTTTTGAATTTTTGTTTTGCAGCTTATCTTAATAGAATCATTTTAGATTGCTCAACGGTTGTGAAACCGAAGGAAACTTGTTGGTTAAGTTTTGTTTTTCTTTGTTAACTCTAGGTGTCAATAGCCGACAGACAAGTGAAGAAGTCAGAACCTGTTAAAATTTCGCTCAAGGATTGCTTGGCATGCAGGTAATCATCTCTCTTTACTTTTTGTCTTGTATTGGGGTTGTTGGTTTTTTGCTGGTGTAATGTTTGTCTATATACTGAATCATATTGTTGCAGAGTGAATTATACTGTCTCTTCATCTTAGAGGGATTTAGGGATAAGAACATTAACATCACTCAGGAATTTATTTGAATTAAGAGATGTTAAGCTGTCAGTCAACTACATATGAGAGAGAGAAATTCTGGTGATAAAAAGCAAAGTAACTAGATAGAACACCAACATATCATATCTGCTGTAGAGGGTGTGACAGAAATATGAAGAATATAGGCTTAAATGGTTTATAGTCTTTATAATATACCCATTTTATCATTTTGGTCCATATAGGAAGTTTTTTGTTGATCAGTCTTCTGAAGATTTTTTTTTTTTTTTTACTTTTTTATTATTATTTTTTTTCCTGTGGTTAGTATTCCTCTGTTAAGTGGCAAGGTGGCTTAAATAAGTCATTCTAAATGGTGACATGCATCATAATTTGTCTAGACAAGATACCACCTGATCCATTTGTTTTCTAGAAAAGTATGACACTCACCCTTTGGACTCCCCTCTTCCCCTTTTCTTTTCCTCTCCCTTCTCCACCGCCCCTTCTAAGGAGGTTCATGCTTTGATGTTGGAACTTGGAAATGAATGTAAGAAGGAGATTATTGTTTGTGTTGAATGGTGGCTTTTGCGGGGTTTCACAGACTTGGGTTAGTTTTGTAGGTAGTAGTTCTTAGTGGAGCCACATTGGTTCTAAATCGCTGTTTTCAGACAAGGGCTATAAGATTCATGGTGAAGAATGTGTTGGTTGCAGGTGGTTGAGTTAACAAATGATTGGTTTGCCATGAAAGTACTGGCAATGATTTTTTTTTTTTGTTTTGCTGAGAGGTGATTTTACTATTCATGTGAAGTTGTGGGTTCATGTGACTGGATTGTTTTGGAGGGGCACATTTTTCTTCTATTTTCACCCTGGAAAATCCAGAAAACTTTCACTTGTGAACCAACGAAATCACTTTATTTGGCGATGCATTCTAACTCTACAATGTTCATGTTCTGTGGAATTATTTTTTTTAAGCTTACAACCAAATATGTGAGTGGGGCCAATAGGTATTTGAAAATATCAAGTGCCCCAATTGATTCTTACAAGTTGCAAACATTTTAAATGAGCGCCTAAAAGCCTTAAATAAATGCAACATGCTTTGAGCTTTATATTTACTAGTAATTAGTTTCATCCTGTATTTTCTCCATTAAGTGTACATAAAAGGTTCATTAAAATTTGATGTTGATTGTGCTTCTAAATCTATGATGTAGTTGATAATGTCAAAGCGTAAGTTACTACGTGTTTATGAAATTATAATTTCTTTGTTTGGTAATACAGTGGATGTGTCACATCAGCAGAGACAGTTATGCTGGAGAAGCAAGGTTTGGATGAGTTTCTATCCAATATTAATCAAGGAAAGGCAGTGATAGTGTCTGTTTCTCCTCAGTCGAGGGCTTCTATTGCAGCTCATTTTGGCATTTCTCCTGTTCAGGTGACATTTTGCTCTTGCTCACAAATTCCCAGTTTTTCTTATAAGGTTCTTTGAAATTAATTTGAGAAGCAAAATTCCAAATTCTTGATCTGTCCGGGTTAAGTGTATAACTTCTGATATTTCAGGCTTTCAAAAAACTGACCAGATTTTTCAAATCTTTGGGGGTGAGGGCTATTTTTGATACAAGTTGCAGTAGAGACTTGACCCTGGTCGAATCTTGTGTGGAATTCATCACAAGATATAGACAAAATCAATTGCTAGATGACGAGAGGAGCAAGTCAAGCCTACCCATGATTGCATCTGCATGCCCAGGTATAGAAATTCAACTTAGTTTTTGGCTAATTTTTTGTGAAGCACATATATTTGTATGCCAGACAAGACTTGACCCATGCATAATGACACAGCAATATTCAAATCTAAGAATAAAACTCAGTGTAGTGTATTGAAAATTATGTAGTGTGTTGAAAATTATGTATGGTATTAACTCAGTGTAGTGTATTGAACATTATCAGTAACTATATTTGACATGTGTTTGAACTTACATAGAAGGTATGAAGATTTGTTGGATTGTATGTTTATTTTAATTCTGGATTTAGAAGTAGGAAATTGAACTGGAATTTCTGGAAGTTGTATTTACTACGATCCATGCGTTTCAGACATAGCTCCTCATATCTGTTGTGATTTATTCTATCACTGCATTTTCAATTTTGAGTTGGAAATATGGGATGAAGGGGCATGATTACTTTTTAATAGGCTTTAGTGATGAGTCCTGAGTTGATGAGGAAATATACTTACATATTCATTATTGGTGTGAACATATGCAGGTTGGATATGCTATGCTGAAAAGCAACATGGATCCTTTGTCCTACCTTACATTTCATCGGTGAAGAGTCCCCAACAAACAATTGGAACTATCATAAAGCGCTATGTATGCGAAGATATGAAACTCAGGTTGTGATTTAACTCCAAATAATAAATTGAGAGGGGGAAAACACAAATGTACCCCAAAGTTGTGGGGATTACCCAATCTTTTGATTATATCTTACAACCTATGTTATGTTTGGCATGCTACGATTCCTAGAGTAACATGCTTATTGAAATGCTCAAATATTTGTTTCAACAGGCCAGAAGAAGTATATCATGTCACAGTTATGCCTTGTTATGATAAGAAGCTAGAGGCTTCTAGGGATGACTTTGTTTTTCAATTAGAACCCCATGCTGAAGGGCATGAAGGTGAAGATAACTTGATTTTGGAGGTAGATTCAGTACTGACAACTGGAGAGATTTTAGAATTGATTCAGGTTAGAAAATTTTATGCATACCTGCATACCATCATTTTTTGTGTGAATTCTTTCACTTTTACTATTGATTCATGTTTGGGGTTCAATCTTCCAGTCAAAAGAAGTTGATTTTAAAAGCATAGAAGAGGCTTCTCTGGATAAACTGTAAGAAACTTGCAACTGTTCCCTTTGCTTAAGTTCTCTTGATTGTCAAACAAGGATGTTCTGACACAGTGTGGTGCCTGCAGGTTAACAAATGTTAATGAAGAAGGACACCTTTACGGGGTTCATGGAAGCTCTGGAGGTTATGCAGAAACAATATTCCGATATGCTGCTAAAACACTTTTTGGAAGACATATTGATGGCCCTTTGAACTTTAGAAACATTAGAAATTCAGATTTTCAGGAAGTTACTTTGGAGGCAAGTTCTTACAAACTTTATATTTAAAAATTCTTTTGAGGAATGTTGTCAGATCTTAGGACCTTTGGATATCTAGCTAAATAAAAATTTGGTATTTATGCTATATGCATAATAACAAACTAAAGAGTCATTTGACGAACCATGTATCTTATAAAGGTTGTTATCCACCTTAGGCAATGTTTTATCTATTGCATTTAACGATGAAAAAGTTATCTACCTTTGAAGAACTGTTTCATATTGACATAAATTTTCAGCACAGTTTACAAGGGGCAATATGTTTTAAAACTCATCTCTCTATTTCTTCTGATTTATTATTCTGACATGAATACTAGTCTACGATTATTCCTCGCAGCCTCAATCTCTGTTTGATGTTATCAAGATAAAGTTTAAGGGATTGTTGTCCATTATAGCCCGAGTTTGTTTCTCTGGGTGTATGTTCTTCATATTTTGAAAAATGTCATTTCACATTGTTGTTAAGATTGGGCTGTTAGTTTTAAACCAGGGTTTGTAAATCGGAGTTAGTTCTTATTATTTAGAGATTTCTTCTTATTTTAGATTATCCAATTCCAGCTTAGAATATGATATCTTATTGGGTTGTTTGGCTATGTTAGGTCCATATCAAACTGATACCTCTTTAATGTAACAATAATGGATAGATAAATATTGGTTTCTTCCCAGAGTGCCTGCATCCTATTTTGAGAAGTCCAGCACTACTCATGCTTACTGTTCTAAATCTTGTTGTCTATACAGGTGGAGGGAGAAACAGTGTTGAAATTTGCTCTCTGTTATGGTTTCCGAAATTTGCAAAACATTGTACGAAAACTTAAAACAGGGAAATATGATTATCATTTCCTGGAAATCATGGCATGCCCTTCAGGTACCATGTTTCTCAATTATCTGGAGTTGCATTAATTTGTTGTTTTTATAGTGATTCTCAATATTAATTTTTTTCCAGTCTCTCAGAAATTAAGTAGGTATTAACTGAAAACAATGCTCATTGATGCAGGTTGCTTAAATGGGGGTGGTCAAATCAAACCAATTTCAGGGCAATCCGCTAAAGGACTGAGTCAGTTATTAGAATCAGTTTACATGGAAAATGCAAGTATTATCTTAGATTTTCTAAATTTTCAAGTACTTCCCTTATTTAAAAGTATGACTTGCATAGCGTGCGCGAGTGTTTGTCTGTTAGTGTATTAATGAGAACATCACAAGTCTAAACATACCTCAGTACACCCTGGAGAAAATGTGCCTTATTTGGTTTGAGGAAATGATTCCAGATTTCATTTTTATTGGCAAGCAGTCGCTTAGTTTCTGTTTTCAAACATTTATATTTAGCTTTCAATATTTCTTGTACAATTCTTTAAAAATAGGAAAGGGAATGAAAGCAAGGGCAATTTTGCAATTGAAAATGAAAATAGAAAATAAAAACAAAAAATGTTTTCTTAAACTAACAATGCCCATGTTTTCATTTTTAGATTTCACACTTATTTTTAATCACAAAGTTGTCATGTTGCATTCACTCTTTCCTATTGTGAAAGAGTAAAAATGACTTTTTCTTATTGTCTTACACATTTGAGAACATGAAATATTTTCTATAACCATAGATCCTTAGATTCTGGTAGGACATGGGATATATACTCTACAAAATTTGCTTATGTCCATGTACTACAATTAGTGTTAGGATATAGGATAAGAAGTTTGTTAGGATATTTTATATGGAATTAGCGAGGGAGGTTTTTAGTAATTGGGGTAGTTAGAATTATCATGTTTAAATAGGGAGGTTATGGAGTTAAAGGCATAGAGCATCATTGAATATTGTAAACTTTTGTGAATAGAGTAGTGACTGGAAGGGGAACCATTGGAGGAGAGTTTTCTTTCCAATCATTTCTCTATCTTTTCATCCTTCCATTATCTTTAAATAAAATAGTTCTTCCTGTGAATTCAAAAATGGGAGTACCCCGCCAGAAAGATTGGAACAATCAAGGGAGTACCCAAAAAAGGTTATATGTTCTGCACGTGTTTCTCTTCTATCCATTTGTTTTAGGAGGCAGGTTCATTGGCTCAGTTTGAAATTGGAAGCACATGATAGGGTGGTAACTCTGCTCGTTTGCCAGTATTACACACAACAGTATTTTTTTTTGTTGAGATCAGTAGGGGAAAGGAGGTACATTCTATGAGTGAGCATCACAATAAACCTAATGGGCCTACCCCAAAGCACATCTAGCCTGATTGTATGCTTGTTTTGATACCAAGCTGAAGTTGCACCTAACGTGTGTGGGAAGGCTTGTTCTTGGTTGGCTGCTATGGCTGGAAAGTGCACAACTGCAAAATATGAAGTGGACTAAAACAGAAACTGGTTTATCAAGCTCTAAACAATGGGATCCAAGAGACATACTTTTGTCTTTTTACAACCAAGGAAACAAGTAGAATTTAGTCTCGAGGACGAAGTTGTTTTGAGAAGGGGTTTATTGTTATTATACAGGTTAAAAGGGGAGTTTTGTTAGGATATGAGGTAAGGAGTTAGGGAAATTATTAATTAATGGGGCTGTTAGGATTATCATGTATAAATCGAGAGGTTATGGAGTTAGAGAGGGCTAATTGAGTATTGTAAATTCTTGTAAATAGAGTAACCTATATTGTAGAAGGAGAAACCCTTGGAAGATAGTTTTCTCTCCTATTCTTTTATTTTATTCTTTCTTAATTTCTATAAAATAGGGTTCTTTTCTTTGAACCCAATTTTCTGGATTCCTTACAATTTGTCTTTGTTTTAACACTATTATTATGAAATTTTATTTCCCTGGTTGGTAACCTGGAAACCTAATTTATTGATTCTTGCTTCAAACCAGTCAGTTTGTAAATAACATAACTGGGGTTTTCTAATGTCTCTCTTTTCAGAGGTTTATAATTTTACACAGGGAATGATTATGTTTGTCCATGTGATAGGTTTTGGAAGCAGAACCATTCGACAATCCCATTATTAAAGATTTATACGACAAGTGGCTTGAGCGGCCTGGTTCCGAGAAAGCTAGGAGATACATGCATACACAATATCATCCAGTCGAGAAAAGCATCACTTCTCAGTTACATAATTGGTGAGGTGTGTTGAAACTCAACTTATAGTAGTTTCCTCAAGGTAATTTTATGTTATTAAACGGAAGATTACTTTAATATACATTCTCCGTCTCTTTGTGGATATGTTGGCATATTGGAGTGGAGTCATCCAATTTTGGTAGTGAACCCGGATATCATGTTTGTAATAACTATAATGTATAGTATGCCTCTGAACGTTTAGAAGAAAGAACCACACAAACATTTGTAATGGACCCTCCAGGACCATACCTTTTTTAGGTTCAATCAAAAGGACCGTGCCTTAAACTTTCCTGCGGTTCTGCTATTTTGGATAGGATATATAGGTTTTCAATAAAAGATTCTCCAACTATGTGTCCTTGTGAGGGATTAGGTGCAAGGATTGGAGAGATAGTGCCCGGTTGTTGGAGCACAAATAACATGGTTTGCATTTATCGCCCTACTGTTGTTTCCAACCCCACACGGTGATTTAACTAGTGTTTGGTCTATGTTAAAAGAATCTAGCTTGTTCACATCGTTAATATAATTTGATAGGTTTTTTAATTTTTATATAAACACTTCTGATTACTAGTAACTTTATCATACAAATATTTTTATAATTAATATAACTTATCATCAATAATATGATTAGTTGGGATGTGTAAAAAAATTATAGTCCGTGAGAAGTTACTCATTTTAAAAAAGCATTATGATTTAATATTAAAAAAATACTATGCTTTGCTTTTATTTAAAATTAGAAGCGGCATTGTTTTAGATAGGTACCATATTAAATTTTTAATAATGTGATATTAGTAAAAACTACACATTAATTTTAACAGTCATAATGTCATCTTGATTTTGTTGAATATACCATGATACCATCAATCCATGATAGATCTGCTACCGCACATCTCTCTGTATGTACCCAAGTCAGAATTTCTTATTTCTCTGTTTACCAATTATAGTGAGCTTTTTTATTAGTATTTTCAGATTCTTATAGTTTTTTTTTTAAAGAATTTTCAGATTCTTATAGTTATTACATTCTATGATGTCTAATCTGAGCATTAAAACTTTCTAGCAAAATTTTCTTCCGACTCTATTAAAAAATAGATTTTTTTCATGATAATAGCTTTAAATAAACTTTTAATTTTATATTATTGATTTATGACCTAAAAAGTATATTGTACATTAAATTAAAATATATTAACGAATGAAGATTTTAGTAGAAAGTTTATTTGGTGGTGGAATCCTAGATCATACACATCTCTGTTTTTTACATTAAACAAAACATATTTGCTTATAGTTAGGGAGTGAGAATAGGCTGATCATTTAATAGGGCATCTAGTCTATATATATTTAGGCCTAGTCTACACATATTTATGCCGGTGATAATATATTTTTTTAAATAAAAAATCTATTTTTTATAAGACTGTTTATTTAAAAAGATTAGGTCTAAGGATAAGAAAAATATTTTAAAGCTATCAGACTGTTCTACTCCATTCGGTCTCATATATAACCAATTTTATAAAAAAAGGTTTAATTTTTAAAATAAATATTTAAATGTATGTAAGTCTTGCATCTTTTTTGATTTTATTCTTACTTGTTTTGAAAATTGTTAAAAACATAAAAACGTAAAAAAGTAGGATATATTTGAAATAATGACATTGAATGTTATTAAATGTTATTAATAGAAGTAACTTTTGCGAAATACAAAAATAAATAAAATTTAAATTATTAATATTATTACAAGTATTTATTATTATTATTATTTATATTATTATTGTTGTTATTATTATTATTATATTTTATTTTAAATTAAAATACAAAAATAAAATGTAGCTATATTGAAAATTTTATGAAAATAGACTGAAAATACTTTATACACAATGTCATACTTTGTTTTCTTAAGTTTTTTTTCGAACAAATAGTTTTATACTATCAAGTAAGTTTATATAAGTCAATGCGAATAAAATTTTAATATTATTGATCTTTTAGTTTTTTAGTGTATATAAACATATAAACATTAATTAAATTATTTATTTATATATATTCGAGTAAAATAAACTTTTAAGTAGACTTATATGCAATTAGACTTTCAAAAAGATTAAATATATGTATAATAATAAATTTATGGTAAGTTATATGTCAGACTTATGTTTTGATATATTCAGCGGGTCAGAGCTAATAATTTTATTTGTAAGTCACCAGAATAAGTTTAATTTGCTCATTGAATACATTTCTGCATCCTTACCAGTTAGAAACTTCATGCGCACACCAATATAATATGATTTTTTTTAAAAAAATATTTAGTTAATAAAAAAATTTGAATAATATATAATTAGTATAGATTTAAATGGTAAATATCTGTAAATATGTTTTTTTATGCTTTGGAACTATGTAACGATTAGAGAGATTGAGTTCACGGTGAATTATGGTGGTTCAAGTCTTTCGATGTAGTAGAGTGGAAGACTGATATACAATATTAATACTTCAATGCTCAAGTCAGGAAGAGTGTGAAAGTGGAATTTGAATGAGAATCATTTAATACATGAAGAGTGACATATTTTTCTCTTTAAATAAGGGTGATGGTTAGTAACTGCATGTGCGCGGCATGCAATCAATTGTTGGATGGATCTTGGGAGATTGATATGGTATTCTCGTGATGGATATTCTACGACGCAGAAGGAAAAAAGGTTGCATACTTTACATGAGATAACTGTTTATTTTGTTACTAGGCTTGCTTATTGGCCTTTTGGACGATTTATAACAATGGTCTCCCAAGCCCTTGACCCTGCTTTGTAGGGCGGGGTGGGGGTGGATAGATGGGGTGGGGTGGGGTTATTCTAAATCTTAAAAAGATGAAAAAGTAATGACACAGTCGACTTACCTCCCTTATACTCCCACCAATGTTGAAAAACTTTAATGGTTGTCCAGTTTGCAAAATGAAACTAGTTGATTTAACATGTTGACTTCGAATTTGTTAAAAGAAATATGGTAGCCTATGATGAAAATCAAGTATTCATGGAAATGTATATACCATTTTCAAGAGCAAACGATGTATCATCTAAGACCATAGTATATTTGCATATACTATGGCAAATGGTTATGGTATGCTCTGTTTGAGGCATCATATATGGTATTTTAAAGCTTATTCTGCAAACATGAAAGATTTTGATGACCCCTTTTACCTGGTTATCCCTTTGACTGAGGAGGTGCACGAAAATGTTTGCTATTTGAAATGTGGCTTTACACATGTTTGTTCAGACATTTTCCAAAAGTACTAGACTTAGAGACACTACTTGACGAGGGCTAGTTTATTTACTCACAAAGAAAAAAAACCTATTTGTGGAAGAATTGTACTTGAAAAGTCAACTGGTAACTTTTCACAATGATTTGAATTGTGTTAATGATGCCTCAAGACGTTGACCGAAGAAATGCATCCAGAGACCTCGTGGCTAGTGGATGCCAAATAAAAGGGGGAGAGGAAAAATAATCTTTGGTCAGTTGAGCCAGTTTTTTTTTTACCTTGCCCCTCTTTCCTTGAGCCTCTCGTGATGTTTATTTCCTTTACTATGTAGATGTGGTGAAAAATGAGGAAGCCATGTGACATTTAAAGAAAAGATTCGAGCAATTGCTGCTTTGATCGAAATTTCAAACATTCATTCTAACAGTGGAGATTTTTCTTCGAGCACACTAAATGGAACACCTTTTGGTCTAGTTGTTGCGCTAGTCGTTCAAACATTTTATTTTTCCTCTCGAATGGATGTTCAAGATTTCTCTGTCTGAACCGCGATTGGACTGTTAATCTCTACCACAAAGGTGGAAGACAACAACAACAATGAAGAAAAGGTAGGCCAAAAAGGAAAGCGTCAATTTATTGCATCCATTACTTGCAAACTTCTTAGAGAAAGTAACCCCTCCAAAGGTACGATGAAGAGAAAAAAATTCGAGTTAATGGTTATGAATAAAAGAGAAGATAAAATTACAATCGAGGAACTAGAAAGACTTATCCTTCAATTCCATGATAGTGAAAAGATATAAGGGATCCCAAACGATATATTTCCTCTAGTAATATTGAATACCATCTCCAATTTTGAGGTTTCACGAGTCATAATTGATGGAAACAACTCCTTCCATATCATGTACTCGGACCTTTTCAAAAAGATGGGACGGAAAAAAGAGAATTTGTGCCTCAATGAAAGACCTGACTTGCAAGCCTTCGACAACACGGTAACCCGTCCATATGGGTACGTCGAGTTTATGGTTACTCTAAGGGAAGGTAGAGACACCAAGATGGCTAACTTTCAATTTATGGTGTTTCCCTACAAAATTATCTATAACTATTTCTTGGGTATACTCTTCACAACTACCTTAAACGTAATGGCCTTCCCAATCCACCTAAAGCCAAAGTATCATAAATTCCACGATGAATTGGTGACAATAAGCATCGATCAATCTTGAGCAGGATTAGACGGAGGACAAAGAAAAAGATATGGCAATCAACATAGTCTCCTTCGTCAGGAAATTAAGACAAATTTAAATCCTACCCCTAACATGTAAAGCAAAATATGTTGGTCGGACATTTGCAGGTGAAGGATTCATATAAAAACCTAAACTAGTTACCATATCCCTTACCATCACCCCTAGCGGATAGTAAACAACAACCACATAGCTTGATTAAATTTAACTTTATGCATTTGTAAAGCACAAATATTATTGCAATGTATGAAGATTACTCAATTAGAGAATAAATAAATCTTTGTTGAACTATCTTTTCCTTGTGATCATATAGGTAGCAACGAGTCATGAATGATTTCACAAATGTTACCTTCATACGACCAAAATAAATCAAGGCCTCATCACAAACTAATCAGGGGTCATGTCATAAACGTCACCAATGTTTGAATAAAGCAATCAAATTGCAACGGTGCCAATGTACATATACAAAAAACATACCACAAAGTGGAAATTACGGATGCATCATCCTCTTGGAAGCTAGCTACTCCAAAGCTTGTGGTGAGTCCACATTA